AAATTTTGGGAGGGGTATAAGAGATATAGGCCACATGATTGGGAAGGTTTTAATGTGTTTGAGCAACATGGTAGAACTAAGGTAACATACGACCGACAATCTTTGCTGGCATGACGAGTTTCTAGCTGTTTCGGAACTGTTGGTGAGACTGTTAAAAGTCATTAGCACTGTTTGAAATTGTTCTGCCGGCAGCAAGATCTGACCGCTGGCCCAGTGACGGATTCTATTGCAAATCAGGGCTGTTTCCAAAGGAGGCAGAGGAGGAAAAGTCCCAGGGCTTATGGAGCAAAGGAACTGGATGAGGCTATCTGCAGGCCCAGAGGAAAGGGAGAGAAACTTTTGGAGGAGTTGGTGGTGGCGGCAGTGTGCTCCAGGGGCGAAAAGAAGCAAGGCCTCTTTAAGGAAAAGGTGGAAGAGACAGGATCAGAAAAAGGAAAGGAGGCGAGGTTGTCGTGCAGGAATACAAGCTAATTTGAGGACTAATCCACATGGAGCTCCGTTTCCATCTGTCCTGTTTGCCATGTTCGCTCCCTAGAGACTAAGATGGACGATCTGAAACTTGAGCTGGCCATGAACAAGGAGTGTATATCGGAGGTGGTGACCCTTTGAGAGCTGTATGCAGTGAAATGTCATTTTGATGTATGCCGATTGTTGTACATTCAAAGTGACAATAAAGTTGTTGTTGTTGTTGTTGTAATCAGATTATCAGATAAAAGTTATTTTTTTAACTTAGAAATGAAAATGCAGGTTTACTTACTAACTTTTATCAGAAATTGTTGAAATGGTTAAGTATCATACAGCACAGATATAAATATTATAAACATCAAGACTAGCTAGTAAACTATCTGGACTATGTCTTTTAAAGCCTCTCCAGAAAAGGAAATGGCTGAGATCCATTTTGCATTACAGCTGTTTAAAAGTATTTGATTTTTTTCATTGCTTAGTTCTTGAATTGAGCTATATGTCTGCATTTGAAGTGTCTTAGGGAGAAAAAAAGTTTTGTCAACGGTAGCTAATGTGTAGATCTGATGCCATTGTAATTAATATATACTGTAGCATATTAAATTACCTTTGCAAACTTTAAATTTTTCTCTTGTTGCTGCTAACTTGTTTCTTCTTTTGATTCTTTTCCATGTTACCCTAGCCCTCAGCCAGATTTTTTTTTACAGATTTTTTTATTCTTCAGAAAAATAGGCTTTTTTTATTGTTCAGTGATTAAAATCACTAAAGAATTCTACAATGATTTCAGCTAATCTTTAAAATTGAGTTACAATTCAGCAATCTTTTATTCAGAGTAGCAAATACATTTGAAGACATACACAAGAACAAAGAGTTTAATTTTAAATGGAATTACAAAACTTCTTCTAAGAACTTCAAGAATATTCAAGATTGAATATTGGTCTAATTTAAATATTAAAGACAAGTTTTCAATAGCCAACGTAACACATTTTCAACAGGCAAATATGCCATATCAATCTTGATACCAGTCAGAGGTGACATAGTTTAAGTATTGTAATACGTAATTTGAAATAAATGTACTATTTATGTCTTTCCATCTCCAAAAGTGAAGGAAATCTTATGGACCATTACATAAAGACATAAGAAAGGTCCTTCTGACCTTATCAGAATCAATTCAGTTCCATATTCAGTTGCCACATTTAATCTACCAGATGTCCCATAAGCAGTATATCCTCATTTTTGCTCTGCAACAATTGGTAGGTTGCCTTCCATTCTTGAGATTAACACTCATTACCACTAAATATCACTGACAGTCTTATCCTCTGCTCCCCTTTTAAAGCTCTTCAAGGATGACAGCCATCGCCACATCTTGGTTTTTATATGTTTGAGATTTATTTTTGCTACTTTTTGGCAGCATCACTGTTTTGGAGACAACACTACAGAGAAATTTTCATATTATTCTAAGCCATTTTTTATGCTGAAGTATTTTGTGTGAATTACCTAAATTAACTCTCAAGCTTCCTCCTTCCGTTATATATTCAAGATGGACAGTATTTAATATTTATTTGCTATGTATATGTAGGGGTGTGGGTCTATACATATGTTGTACATAGTATGTTTAGGTGTGTGTTGTGTATGTGTTTCACTTTGAGAGCAGGCAACTAAATTTCATTTTTAATGTGTGCCGTTATGCCCACAGTAAAAAAAATGACAATAAAGGTTATCTTATCTTACCTAAGTTAACTACAGGTTATTTGATAAGCCAATATTTTTTATTTTGTTTATAATAGGTAAAATAAGAGTACCCTCATCCACACAGTTTTTATTTGTTAAATTATATTTACTTTGCTCATATGGTAAAAATTTGAACATAAAGTAAGCCCTCAAACATATAAGAAAAAAAGCCAAAAGAACAACTATAAAATATTTAGAAATAGAAATATCTTGTACCTGTGAATTCTATTTTTAGTCATGATGTTGTCCAGTATGGAATAAGGCAGTCTTCAACATTTTCCTAGAGTCCAGGAGGAACAAAGCTGACTCAGTTTCTGCCAGGAAGAGATTAAAAACAGTGGGAGTAGCTACTAAAAAGACCCACTTCCAAGGTCTCCTCAAGGAAGGGACCTGGCAGGCGTTGACATATAACATTGTACAGTGCAATATATCCCTTCTAGCCTTAAGTTATGACTTGCTTTGCAATCATAAAACCATGAACAAACTATTTTTGTTGTCCTGCTGTGATTAAATAATAATAATAATAGTAAAGTTGGAAGGGACCTTGAAGGTCATCTAGTCCAACCCCCTGCTCAGGCAGGAAACCCTATACCATTTCGGACAAATGGCTGTCCAGTCTCTTCTTAAAAACTTCCAGTGTTGGAGCATTCACCGCTTCTGGAGGCAGGTTGTTCCACTGGTTAATTGTTCTCACTGTCAGGAAGT